AAATATATTAGAGGTTTCTAGATTTTGAGTGGGGGTAGCAGGCTGCGTAGCTTCCATTTCTATCTCGTTCTGGATCTGTCCTTCTAGCTCTGCTATCTCCTGCCTTATCCTTGGTAGCTTGACGTCGATAGTATCGCTGTCTGGCGGCATCTTGCTTAGTAATCGGCGTGGTCTGTGTGATTTCTTAGGGTTTATTTGTATATATTTGACTGATATTACACCTATTCTAGAAAACTCGAAGTTGGTGTGGTGTTTGGTGTGTGGCCTAAAACCTTAGCTACGCGGATAAGCATAAGGAGTTTGGGCGTAGAAATCGTCTCTGGCCTTAGGGTTTGTGTGATGAAACTATACGCTACGGTATGGTGTACGCGCGACGTAGTGGGGATCTTGTATCGTTGAATGGCGTCAGCCATATTCACAAGTGTTTGCAGCGATATATGAGATTGCGGTATAAAAGATCCATGAGCCGACTGGCACACCAAGTAAAAAGCTTCAGGATCTTCATCCGGGAGCTCGATACTCTTACGCAACGTGCCGCTTTGCGTGGTGAAAAGCTTTTTGAACTCCGGTGACGTTTCTGACATGACTGAGGAAGAGATGAAAAACCGAGATTGTTGAATCTGAACCTCGACGTCGCCTTTCTCGTGTAGATTCATTCTGAGATTGATTACGGAGGTCACAGTAAAGCAAGATGAAGGAGCTTTTTGCATTCTATCCGCACCATAATAGTATATATAGTGACTGAAAACTCTGGAATAGAAAACACAAGCTGTAGCGATCAGTCTACGTGGCCCTCGTTGGCAGCTCACATCGGTGTTCGCAGGGCTACTAATTGGCGGAAAGGTATGCCGTTGCCTGGCTATCTCGGATGCCGGCCTATTCTGTGAATCTCAAGAGGCCTCCCGTAAAACGGAATGCTCACATGAGACGATCATTTGTTCGGCCATTTTCGTCTATTCGGCTGTACTGTGGCGCGGCAAGCCTGCCCTAGCACATACGCTATCAATCCCTAGCGCTTGCAACACCAATAGAAACAATATCCGACTTTCCCAACCCATGCACAGCGGCAATTACGGTCACTTCCTTCGTCAGTCTTCCGTTCGAACCGTTGCATCCCGAGCCCCTGAATTCGCGCAAGGATTCCTGGAATGGCTCTAGATTTGCGCGCGCTACAAGACATGACTCAGGTACATATGAGGCGATTGAGCATGAACGCACGATCTGTGCATGCGACACAGGAGATCGTTGCATAAAGTTTACATTACGCATTTATGTTATCCAAAAGAAATGGTTTCAAATACTAAGTCCATGCAGAAAAGACCCTAGGATCTTGTTCCCGCAATATCTAGTTCAAGTAGATCTTGCCTGATGCAGTTATAGTTGCGTCCGTATCAGATATTACCACACCTTTTAGCTCCTCTCTGAGTTGCAGTGCTCGAGTAGAGCTGATCCCATGATCATCGCTGGGGATGCTAATCACTGGAATTGATGTAAGGGCCTTGTGGAGAAAAGGAGGGGATGGCATTGCCTTCTTGGCTAGACCCTCGCTGAGTGCAGTGGGGGAAAAGCTCAGCAGCGGATCGAATGCTCGGCAAAGCAAGCGATGGTATACTACAGTCAGTCCTGTAGCAAAAAGCATGACGCATGCCTGTCCAATGCACTTGGCATTGCCCTGCGAGTCTCGTACAAGAAGAAACAGAGCAATAAGACAGACTTGCATTAGATACAAGCCCATTAAGAGATGTTTTATGGCTTTGGGATAGAAGAGACCCCCGTGATCCCGCTCAGTAGTCAGAATACTTGAGCTGGAGTAGATGATCCAGAACAAGCTTATAACAAGAACCTGGAAAGGAATGATAATCGGAGAGATGATAGCGTAGAGAAATCCTGTTTATCTTAGCATGTGCTACCGGACTCATTTTTTCAACCCAAGACCTACCGATGCAGGAGAGATTTGTAAAGAGAGGTACAAAAGTGCCCCATTGGAGATCCTGGCCCCTTCTTCTCGTCATCATCTGAGTGGCTGATTTATCAAAAATTGGGCCAAGTACAAAGTCTCCTATCAAGCGATCAAATCTTAACAGAGAGTTCGCGCTAATTGAAAGAGCCTGTAAAAGAATATAGGAGAGGAAGTAATTGCTTGCTTTTGGTAGATTCTTGGCCAATGTCCCAGCCAGCGAAGCTCCATGTTTCATCTCGTTGGCAATAGCGGTAAGTCCTGCAGACAACGAAACTACGAGAGTAACTTGGAGAAAGAGGAAATAGAAGTAATAATCTTGAATCTTGAGGTCAATATGGCTCTTGGAAGAGATGCCCTGCTTTTTGACAAGGTATTCTAATACGACGACGAATCCTTTCATCAAAACGGCCACTAATGAGGGAGGCAGTACACCCTGGAGTAAACTCAGGAGGAATTCCGGAAGCTCGTTGATCCAGCTAAGCCAAGGCACCGCGCGGGTGATGTAGATGATCTGGGATAGGAGTCCTGCCAGGGCTACTGGTATAATGCAAGCAGTGGCCGTTGCCATAATAAGCGTGTTTGAAAGAACAGTGCGTATGGTTCTGTCCTTCCAGGTGATGTTGACATTGCTCCATATCACATCATCAACGGACAAAGGTATCGTACGGGGTGTCATATAACCTGAACTAGTATGAATCACTGTTTGACACGCCATGTTGGCGGCCAGTGGATTGGCGAAGGTAATAAAGGCGGATCGCAATAGGGGGAATCTCTCTCGTGCTGCACGATAAAATTCCATCTCTTCACTAGTTTTAAGAAGTTCCTCTCTATACGCTATGCTGGTATCCACTTTTTCATGTTCCAACCAGGCGAAGACGTTTAAAAGGCTGCGTGATTTGTAGCTTGCGGGTCTAGGTTTCTTGGTAAAGTTTGATTTCTGGTCTCGTTTCTGAATGCCTGCCCTGTAGGCCTTCCTTATCTTGGAAATCTCCTCTATCTCGAGAGATCGGGCTAAGCGTTCTCGTCTCTCTGCTAAACGGGAAATTAAGCTATAGTCACGATTGAAAGAGATTGCAGTAACTACGCCAGGGAAGACCTCCAGCTGAGATGTGAGTGCCTTATCGGACATCCAATCGTCGGGTATGGATTCGATGAGCACTGTGCACAAAGCCGCGTATGGTGAGCTTTGCCAGGTTGCAACGTAAAATGCAAGCTCGTTCCAGATAACCCAGCAAACATGTACGATAAAAAGCAAACCAAGGATGAGATGAGCCCAATAACGATCTGTCTGATCAAGGCCAACATTGGACCACCCTAACGCATCAAGTCCACTTACTCCAAGAACAGCAGTTTTCCCCTGAGTGTAGTTTAAAGGAATAAGAATGGGTGGTATAAGTATCAAAGCGGGTGTAAATATAACAGCTAGTGATCGCAGGTACCGGCGGAAGAAGTATCTATCGAAATGCTCGTGGCAGCGGTCAAATCGAACCAAATTGGTTGCAATGTATTCTTTCCAACTCTCGGACGTACTATTTTGATGATTTGGAATAGTAGTGCTGTGATCATGAGCGCTAGATCTGATAGAAAGCTTTGAACTTACTAGAAATCAGGGAATCGCTTGCGGATGGCAAGAAACGCAAGAACTTCTAGTGTGAATATAATTGCAGAAAAGGAGACTGATGCTATGAATGAGCCCAAAGAGATACCCTGGAGCTGCTGAGCTTTGGTGAACGATTGTTCAAAAGTATTATCCATCGCTTTAGCCGGATGTTCAGTTCCAACGCAATGAGCTTTAACATGAAGTAGATAAGTTCTCAGCGACAAAGACTCTTCGAGTTGATCTCTTTAAACGGCATGCTCTAGGAATGGCTTAGCGTAACAAGCAGGAGCACTTTGAAGTGTCGTGCTTGTTACGCTAAACCAGAAGAGGCTGTTCTACATAGTCACCATAGTTTGAGGGCAAAGATCTGTCTTCGAACAACATGCTTTAAAAAAGGACTAGCGTAACAAGCAGGAGCACTTCAAAGTGTCGTGCTTGTTACGCTAAACCAGAAGAGGCTGTTCTACATAGTCACCATAGTTTGAGGGGCAAAGATCTGTCTTCGAACAACATGCTTTAAAAAAGGACTAGCGTAACAAGCAGGAGCACTTCAAAGTGTCGTGCTTGTTACGCTAAACCAAAATCAGTAATCTATAGAAAAAGCTAGTGTTATTGGCTTACAAGTAAACCCATCCGTTCCGAGCCGGACTAGCGCGACGGAAGACAGGCAGCGACGGAAGATAGGGAATTGCTCTTAGCTAGGAAGACTTTTCTAATGAAGCACGTTTAATTGTACAATGCCTCCTGCTGACCCTGTGCATAATTCGCCCATTCAATTCGCCGACATAATGGCGCCAAACGGTCATTTATCTTCAGCCCTAGCCTTGATCAAGGTGTGTAAATTCTAACAAAAACGTGCCATGGCTGATTTATCTAATAAGATAAAGCGTTTTGCAGACAATTGGTTGCAAATAAGCGATACAATCGACTATGATGAACTTGTAGCCCTGATAAATGCGCTCGACTACTTGAAGAAGGACGCTCAGCAGAAAATGTCCATCAGGAGAGCTAGCCAAGCGAGCATGCAAACCCATCGACAGCCTGCATGTGTGGGTGGTGCTAATCAAGGGGTGCGAAGGTCTTCTCGCCGCATCGCATCCGCTCCCCAATATGCTTCAGCAGGCTCGCTGTTTGTCACTGAAGATGAGACGGAGTCTGAGTCCAGTAGTCAAGACTATGGGACACGCTCCCCAATTCTCTACGAAGAAAACGATGATGAACACGAAACGAGGGATGCTGCAGCAGAGATTCTGATGAATCATCCGGGCTTGTTGCCCGTCGACAACGATAGCCAAGCGGACAAAATCCTTCTTGAGAGGAATTGTGAGAATGAAATATCGCAACTGAGGCATCGGATAGAGCAATACGTACACTCTCCTTCGCCCTATACGCGAGGGCTGGTTAGTAACGAGCAGGATGAGTGTACGGATGTACAGCCAGTGCAGGTCCTCGATGAAGCCTCAACTGGCCAGGCTTATCAGGAAACTAGTGCCACTGCTCTATACCAATCATTGGAGGTTCCAGAAGATGTTGAAAATCAGCAGTTTCCCGAGCTTTCACATTCTAGTTTGGTCCATCAGCCACATCTAGGCTTAATCGAGCAGGATGTCTCAGATTCACTTTTTAGTGGAGAAGAGTTTGGAGTGGATATTCTCAATAATTTACCCTCACCTCAATTTTTCAATGAAGCATTTGGAGATTTGTATTCTACCTCTGTACATGACGAGGTGCAGAGAGACGTCGAAGAGACCGCCACCTACCCTGACGAACAACATCCGACCAACCAAAGTCACACAGAACATTTTGACGATGATCCGACAGTTCAAGGCTATGTGGATCTCGCTTGTCGTTTGGGCTTCCGCCTTCCGCACGAAACTGCAGAGGATGCAGATTGTATTGATGTTCAGGAGGTCCTAGCACCCTTAGTGAAAGAGACGCCCCTTACGTCAAGACTCCTCCATGGTATATTGTATACGCTACTGCCCGGTCCAATTCTCATTATTGATTTTTGTTCTGGTGCATTCGATCCAAAGGCGGTAGAAGGAAGTACCTGTACCGATTTTGTAGCAATCGTACGCAGAAACGAAGACCCTTCGCCTCTGCTTGTGGTAGGGCTAGAGACGAGCAAAACGCTCTTCATTCTTGATAGCGAAACATGGGATCTACCATCTCTTGAGATTTCGTGGCTAGTACGTCCTGAATGGAGGACAGAATATACTGATGTAGGCCAATCACCCACTCGACTCCCGACACTAACTGACCTTCTTTAGCCACGAAGCATTGAGCCGCACATGGAAAGTACACTACTATCGATTTGGATAGCAGAAGCCTACTTTCAGCACCGGCCCCTCCAGAACGTCCCATCCTCTCGTGACTTACGCATACGTATTCTAGAGGAGTTGTTAGCGCCCTATCAACGCGATTATGTCCTCGAAAAGTCTGGCATCCCTAGTAAACTTACAGGGCCTGAACACATTGATACCCAATGGAAGCTGGCCCGCTTAGAGACACAATCACAAACTGGCGAGGTTTTCGTACCAAATCTAGAGAACTTCGAGCTCGAAGCGTTACGGGAATCACTTCTCCGGAAGCCTTCTGAGATAAATCGCGGGCGTTGTCTACGCATTTTGCAATGTGTGAACGAGATCGGATCTCCCCATATTCTTGAATCACTCAAACTGGCCTGTACCAGGAAAGACGAATGCCAAACCTATTCACGAACAGATCAACCCATCTTCGACAAACTATTCCACATCCACATCTACTTAGACAGACAAGAAAGCCAAAGTCATATTTTGGTTGCCAGAAATAGATATATTAAATATTGCTACTTTGAGACATATCTGCGCGCTGTCAAAGCGCTGCAGGAGGAGAAGCGCAATAGCACACAAGAGAGGCGAAGAGTCTTGGCTCGAAAACGGACTACTAGCTTCAAGCAGGGTATTTCTGAGATACTGCCCCCTACTCCACATACTGAAGAAATACATCGAGTTTACGAAAATCTTAGTCCTTCAGAGAGAAAGAGGCGGGCTCCTGATATGGTCAAAGATGAGATTTCAAAGAAAATCGTCAAAGAATATGGCGGGAATGAAAAGCGAATCCGACGCAATATAAATAAATACATTAAAGACGGGAGAGTACTACACCATGTTCTGCGAGGCTGGAGATCCTTAGATCCAGCCTTGCTTATTTTGTTTCCAAGCTTCGGATCCGATTTGCCTTCGTTAAGTGTGACTCAATTTGGATTGGAGCTTGAGGAGCTTGAGGAGAAGGCTCTTAGTAAGCCTATTCAACTAAAAGAGTAAGATACAATTCTATATTTAGTCAAACTTCTACTAATATGATTGAGCAGTATAGATGAATTGACGCTAGTGGAGGCAGCTTGGTTTGGCGAGGTGTTGCAGGCTAGGCCGGAGCTGCTAGAACCAGTCCCAAAGGCTGTTCTTGATCTCATCTCGAATACCCTGACCCATGACCTTGATCTCCAAGGGCGTGATCCGGATAGCTTTCGGAGTAGACCGCTCCAATTCTTTATGCAGTAGAATATGATTTCATACGCACTTAGATTAGCGTGCCTTTTTTCGAGTGTAATAATGTTTATCAAATATATTAGGTAACTACTTAATTTTTCATTTTATATAACGCTCTTATCCCCAACTCTAACACATTTCCTCGCCGACCCAACACAGCCATTTCTTGAATGTTTTCCCTACTAGATTGTTGTCCAAACGGCGAGATGAAGACTGAACCTGGCAGCAATACAATTAACGAAGATGCATGGCCTTGTTTAGGCGCTATTAGTATTGACCGCCTGAATGTGCTTATATTTTGGGAAAGTTCATGGCTTTCAACACGTGAGTACCATGCACTTCGTCAAGATGGAAATCAGGGGTGGCTTGTCCACGCTCGAGGCGAAAACGAGCTACTCATTTCCTGGGAGCCTACCATTGAAAGGAAGTCAATTCAATCCTCCCCCCAAGAACTACTTCATGAGTTTCCTATAGAGGTCCGAAAAGATCGACCTGGTTTGCTTGGATATGTCGCGGCGAAGGCTTTACCCCCATATCTAAACGCGGGTAGCCGTTTCCCAGCATTCCTAGCATACTGGAAAGTCGCCCGAATGACTAAGGGTCTTTTTTATTATCTACAGCAAACTTATTCCAGCCATCGGGGCTACATTGTACACGAGGAGTCAGGCAAAGTCTGGATACAGTGGGAACCTACGTGGGTGGCTTATGAAAGCTTGAATGAAAGTAAGAGAGAGCAGCTCTTACAGATATCCCACGATCCCGAGGCTATATTGAATCGCTTCCACAAGGCAATTGTTCACTACTCCATGCGCTCAGTGGTAGAGAGGAGAATAAGTAAGAGAACAATAAATTAAAGGAGGCTATCTAAGCTTCGTTGCTAAATCCGCATGTGTATGAATACATGTGCTGCAAATCCTTTCTTCGGGAAGATTATAGTAAATATATAACCATAGATACTCAATATAGCAGACATTTCATAAAGTAAGTAAAACTCATACCGAATGTCCCTCCAAATATCTATAAAGCGGTTGAATATGCCGAGCCAAGCACCATTCTTCGCACAAATTCTCCAGTGACAGCATGCGGCGAGATATTGGTAGGCAGTTCAACAGAATTGCAAAAGCCTCTGTTGCGGTTGCCGCGGTAGCTCAACCTGTTCCAGATATCACCAGCCCCCGTGTTGGGCAAGATGGCAAAGCAAATGCCACAAGAATCCATTGTCTGCAACTTTTTACTCTTTTTGCTTGTGTAGATGTTGTTTTGAACTTCGATGTTGGTCTCTAACAGAAATCCTACATGAGCTCGTGGTACTGTACCCTTGACGACGATAATGTCGATCTTAGAGCCAAGTCCACCTCTTGAGGATTCTTTGGCATCTGTGAATGCCTGGAGTGCAACATTTGTCAAACCAATACCCGTGCCGGCATCGTAAGATGTCCTCATCAGGCTTTCGTAGTTATGGACTGCGAAATCAAGAGGAACAGGTTCCATATACCGTGGAAGAAGGTCTCTCGCTTTTTGGCTTATTCTTTCCTTCAAAGCCTCATGAGAGGATTCTTCCACCAAATTGTAATTGCTGTAAACATCTTGAATTGTTTTAGTCATCTCTTCAGTGGCGCTTCTTCTGTTCTTGCCTGTATGAAGCTCTTGTGAGTGCGTGTCGTTGTCTTGAAAGAAAATCTTGTCTTCAGTCTGTATTAGATTGAAGCGATAGCCTTCGCGCGTTTTCTGAAAAGCACTCTGCCAGTCGGAATTCTCAAGATGCAAGCTGCCGGTTTGCGCTAAATATTCAGTCCATAGTTGGATCCCTTGATGGAGAGTCTCAATACTTGCTAGTTTCAAAAGAGCTTCGGTATTTCCAGTGGGGTAACGTAGTGGCCTATTCGGAAAGATTACAGTAATACTTCTTGGTTTAATGCGGTCGAAGACAAACTTCAACACTACCAAGAGATCAAATTGTAGTTTCCAATAATCAGGAAGATCTTCATGTAAGAAAACCCGGAATGATCTTTCCACCACTTCAGCCTGAAACTTTCCATCATTTACCAAGTCCCATAGGGATTCTTTGGTCTTCTCCTGGCCTGTTACTGGAAGCGGAATACGGACTGGCATATGACCGATGGTTTCATTTTTTTGAGAAAGTGGTTTAGAGCAAGCATGTCCCATCCTTTGAAAAGAAGACCAGAATACTGGTTACTGTTTGTAAGAAGCGTATTGTGGTGGTCGTTAGGGGTTTTAAGCTAGAATATAATCCCTGTGAATTTTCTATCTCCTTCCCCCATGGAGTCATCTATGTTGCTGAACCTTGTATGCCACCTCTGAGCTTGCATTAAGTGCCATGTGCATGACTGAGAGCATGATATAAAACAGGACGCATTACTTAACATTAGATATGACCACAGCCTAAAAATTTCCTCTTATACATTTCAGACTTTTAGCATGCAAATTAAATCTATTTGGGCTTTTGTGCTATTTGCAATGGTTCGTTCACATGTCTTTGTGGGCAAGCCTGCACCCTTTCACTGGGATTCACAGGTAACAAAGCTGATCATGCCATTGAATGGTGATCCAAACTACCAAGGTCCAGGCTGGGGTCAGCAACCTTTTCCTTGCAAGGGCTATCATAGAGATGTGACTTATCATAAAGCTCATGCCACTTGGTATACTGGAAGTACGGTAACGTTTCAGTATGTCAGCTCATACTCAAACAATTCTGGTACATGGCTTATAGCATGCCCATAGGATTTATGACTCCACAAACACGACTGGCGCTAGCATGCACGAGCCAGGCGCAGCTCATTCAGGAGGCTCTTGCCAGGCATCATTTTCCTACGATAATGGGGAAACCTGGATTGTCGTGCAAAGCTGGGAAGGAAACTGCGTGCGTGTACGAAAGGGTCAAGAAGGTAAACTTACAAATTCCTATGACATTAATCAAAGTTACTCTTTCGATATTCCTGATTCCCTTCCAGGGGGAGATGCGGTAATCTTCGCATGGTAAGTCAGACTCTTCCGTCACAGTGCGCTACTGACTCAACAGGACCTGGCTGAACTCATCCGGTAATCGAGAGTTCTATATGTCATGCTCGCCTATCCGGTTGATAGCAGCACGATCCCTAACCAAAATTCCATCTGGTTATCCTATGTATATTGCCAACCTTCAGGAGGATCCAGAAACACCGGATTCACAGCATCCAATCTGGTCTCGATGCTATGTTCCGCAAAATGTGTGGATTCGCTACCCCCCACGGTACAAAGGCATCAATCCACCAATCGTAGCCAATCCGCTTCCAGAAAGCAGCCAAATCCGCTATCTAGACCTTGGAGACGATGGGGGATTATGCGGCTCAGACAATAAAGAAAGGGTTAGAGCTCTTGGACTCCAATCTAGTTAGAGCATCTTTAAAGTTCCGCTACTTGAGCACGTGCAGGCTAGCTTTGAGTAAGATAAATACGTTATTAGTTGAGATAGCTAGGTCATCTGGATTATTGATATTCCATAACATTATGCATTTGACTGCCCTGCTCGCTTCGTTAAATGTGTTAGCTGCTACACCGTCGACTAAGATGTTGAAGTAAGTGCAACTTACTATATTGTGTTAGTTCTATACCTTCTAGTTAGTCTCGAAAAACTCTATTAGTTGTCTCAGCTACACACCGCGCTACCGCCTCTCCGTGAAACTACCTGGTAGGAGCTTCGCCTAAGCAAGCCATCCATGAATCAATATTATCGGGGGGCTAAGAACAAGTGGCGTTCCTGAAAGCGACCCACCCTATGTAATAGTTGTAGCGCTGACTATACTACATCTTGACTATTCAACTTCGCACGGACCCACCCTATACGTACTGACGTACGAGGTAAGCGACCATCTCAAGCATTGCGTTAGCCATCATATTCGTACAAAACCACTTGGGTGGGCCCACAAGTGGTGCATTTGTGCGAATATATCAATAGAATCTCTAGCCATGCTATGTAACACATTAACTATCGTGGCAACGTCGCACACGTTGCTGTCGTGGGGTTTAGCGCTGACTTTGTGAATGTAGAAGGACACTAAGATAGATCAGATAACCACAGGTGGTTTACGGTACGTAAATAACGCAGTTGCAACAAAAGTGTATACCATAAGCTTAGCCGTTGGCGAATATACGATAAGCCGCCTCTAACACCGAGCCTTATATAGCCCGTGCTTCGCCAAAGATTTAGGTGGCAGCTCATTTATATATCTGCCAGGTCCCAAACCTTTCTATATAATCCACTTGTCACATTAGCTAACCAAACCACACATAATGTCTAACAAAGTCCGGTCTTTCATTCTACGTCAAACAGATGAATCCAAAGGAGTTTACCCTTTTTTCAAAATACAAGTAGGAAGCGNCTCTATGGCTTCCATCCAAGATTGTACAAGCCTATTACTCGATGGTGCCAGGTCACATTTACCAAGATGGACTTTATCTCATTCCGCAACATCGAGTGCTTCCTGATCTTTATCTGTATATTGGGGAAAGAAATTACGAAGTTAAAATCCCGGGTGCGTTCTTCAAGCCTCAAGGATTAATTAATGATGAGTATTGTAAGTTTAGATTGGTTTTTACCGTTGACTTATAAGGAAATAACTAGTATTGCATTTAGATCCAGGAAGGCTCGAAGAAAGTTCGGAACCACATGGTGCCCTTCTAGGACACCCATTCTTCTTCGCTGCAAATGTGATTTTGAAAGGCAATAATAACCTCTCGGTTGGTTTAGTAAGGAAGGACGCAGAAAAGCTAGGGGAAGAGTGCAGAGCAGCGAATAACAAGGTGGAGACTTCTCGTGAGAGTAATAGTTGCATTCAAGACGGCCCCTTCTGTTGCCCACAATAATCTTGGTATGCGTGTCTGGTTAGAATATATGTGTTTGCCATTGTTGCTTATAAAATACCGTCGGTTTCAGAGCAGCCGGCATAACTACTGAAAGTATTCTCTCACCCTATGCTAAGTAGTTTACTAGGAAATGCTCACCACTGTCGTAACCCTAACTTAGGGTCAAGCCGTAAGCGCAGCCCCAAGCTACTGTTCGTTTTGTGCTAGTGGTGCCTTGTCTGAATATTATAACGCTAACGGTCGCGCTCAAGGCTTAGATTGTGGTTGACGAGCTTGGGCGTGGTCACTGCGTTGATTTTGGTAGCAATATTTTTTTCAACTGCGCAAGACTAACTACATAGTACGTAAGCCATGGCGGGTTTTTTTAGATCATTATAGATGGTGAAGAGTCGTAATGTCGTCTAGAGCAAGGAAATAAGCACCGATGCCTCTATGACATGCTAGGGATAACCAGGCGAATGGAGAATGTAAAACTAAGCTTCAGCATGCCTAGTTAGTTTAGGGTTTTCAGAGAGGAGCCAAAATTGGCTGGCGTTCATGGTACTGAATGAGTGAATATAAATTGCAAGCGAGATGCACACCAAACTTTCCGCCTTAGTCACTACTATCCCTTGATAACTAGCATACTTTGCAATCTTTAAAAGTCATCATAACGTACTGCACTAGTTAACTACTGTTTCTGTTTCCGCCTACATCTTTCTCAGTCTTATTCCTGGGCTAGCCTTTGGAACTTCTAAAACGCGCCTCCATCATCAAGACAGTAACTCCCTAGGGTTTCTCTATGATTTTTGTACTGATTTTGAGATTATGTAAAGGGAGCGAGTTGATGGCCTTGTGTGTCCCGAGTGTAGGTGTGCCTATTGAGGTGAGTATTAATCTAAACTAGTGCCTTAGCAATTATAACAGATAGCTATAATTTCAAGAGTGATTACTACAGTAACTAGCTTTTATAGTGTTCCTAAATCTAGAAATGAGGTCACGTTCATCTATGACTGTATTATAGGTATAAGAACGAGACTTCCTACTACTGACCAAAAGTTATCTTACAGCATTTTAAGCGCTAAAGCATTCCCAGCCCCGATAAGCCCTTATTTTTGGGCTTTTTTTACTAGTCTTATGTCTCATAATACCAGACAAAATCTTTGTTTACTCTGCGGTAAACGCCGATCTAGCGGCGCCCAACACGTTCAAGATGTTCAAGTCTGTTCAAGAAAGACATGTGCCAAAACTCAACGCCTACTAGAGATAGCTTTAAGGGACAGCAGCCCAGTTATTAATGTCCATCACAACTACTACGCTAGTTGTGCAAATAAGAATATATCCAATTGTGTACACTATAGTTATGGCCTTCACGCTAAGGAGGCTCCCAATATCGAAGCGCTCGCCGAACTGCCTGAGCATTCTGTAAGGCCGGGGTCTAAAGTACACCGCTACTAGAACCGCCAAGTGTAGATAGTATGGCTTCCAAATGCATATTCCCTCAATTTGCTTCTTAGCGCGCATTGTGACAAAGGTTATAAGGCTCGTACGTGTCTGATATTGACTATCTATATGCAATCTGCACCTAAATCTACGTAACGTATCTTTTCAAAATCCTCGTATATATATGTTACAAGGTCAACAAACTACATCAGGCTATATTATCTTTCCATTTAGTAATGCCCTCCACGCGAAAAGCACTTTGCATTGATCTTACCACCGAGGCAGAACACTGCGCTATATGCTCAAGAATACTTGAAGTA